ACATGTTTGAGAGCAAAATATAAATGTTGTGTTCGGAAAGTAATTGGTTAAATTAGTGGGAAAAGGATCCTCTAAAAAGCATACAAATACAGAAAGCTGAATGCATTCCTACATGGAGAAAGAGAGTGGGGCTGCCTTTCTCAGGCAGGAGATAAATAAGACAGCAGCAACAGAGTATGTGGAGAAACAAAGCAGGCAGGGGAGGCAGATCAGACGTCTGTACTTGCTTTCTCTAGGAAAGCAAAACAAACTTGCTTCCACTGAAGCTGAAGCTGCCCTATCGATAAAGGGAGACCAGGCCCGCATGGGTCAGAGGTGGCTGTTGCCTAGACCCCATGTGGCTGAGCTTTTCTCCTGGATTGACAATTTCAGTGGCGACCCATAACAAAGCAGACATCACTGCCCAAAGGGAGAGACAGACTCTACGCATGATAAGCTTGAAAACAAATGCTCTGCCTTGTTTTCAGTGCATCTCATAAGAGGCCTGTGGGCACACCAAGTCCCAAGCACTTTGTCTCTGCTCCCATGCACTGGGTCACCAGGTGGAACCACTGAGGTCCTGTATGGCCATCAAATGCTGGGTCACAGGAGGCCACAAGGGATTACAGGTTGATCACAAGGGATACGGAACAGCCTGACATGGAGGAGTTGAGTAGGTCTGATTCAGCTCATGGGACATGAGAACTTGAGGGATGCTGTCTGCAGACATTGAGTGAGTGACTTGGGAAAACAGGAAGCTAATTCCTCATCTTTTAGTTCCTTGAGCTGCTGTATGTTTCCAGGCTTTTACCACCCTGTCAGCTCTCTGTTTGAACCAAGAGTAAACCTTGGTATTTCTAATAAAGACACAAATAGCTCCAGAAAATGTTGCGTTCTCTTTCTTCCCAATGAAGAAAAGTTTGGTGTTTTTTTTCCTGATGAAACATGCTATTTGTGACAACTGTTGTGCATCAGTGATGGCTGGAGGGCAGAGGCAATCACAAATGGATCCGTCAGTTTCTTGGAGGCCCAAAATAACATGGCCCTGAAAGAAGCTTGTGGCAGCTTTATGTAAGGATGTGAGCCCAAGAAGCCATGACTCTCCCTGCAGGTCAGGCCATTTCATTTTGACCCCAAGGCAGGATGACAGTGTCCTGGGTGTCCACTTCACCCTCCAGCCTGGTCACATGGAGCCATCTCACCTTTCTGGCCCTAAAAGCAACTTAGTGCAGCTGCAGGTTTCCCTTAGTTTTTTGCCAGTGCTGGAAGAGCAGATGAACAAATACGCTGCGGAGAGTGGGGAGCACCATAAAATCCTGGAGCAAATGGCACCATTTGGTGTCACTTGGCCACATACCCCAAGGAAAGACAGCAGTGTTCCCTGTCTTGCAGTGCCCTATAAACCTGGTGCTGCCTCTGCACAGGGGCAGATGCAGATGGTGGGATGCTGTGAAGCAATTTCTCCCTGTAATGAAGGGGTAAACTGTGCTGAAGGGCTCCTGCGGCAATAGGTGGCTGCAGCTGTGGGCTCCCTGCCAGCAGCTGTGCCCAGAGTGGGATCTGGAGGCCGATCTCACAGCCAAGACAGCGGCCATTCATCGGCACTCAATAAACAAAAGTGCCTTGCTGGTTTACCCAGGAGATAAGCATGCAGGGCATAGAACTGCTTTCCCTTGTCCTCTCTGTGCTGAGTGTGGGAGCCTGCGCTGGGTGCCAAAGGAGCCAGGGCTTGCAGGAACCAGGGTGTCAGGCAGCTCTGAGGCTGAAGCCCTACGGGTGCTAGGCACGGTGAGATGCTGGTGCTTACTGGAGGTTGCCAGCCCTGCGGCACATGTTGCCTTTTTAGCTTGTTGATGATTAATGATGGAAGCCTGAAAGCTTTTTGCTTGGTTTTTGTTTTTTCAGAGACTAATATTGCTGAGCCTTCATTTGCTCTCTACCAGTTGTCTACATGGACTTCAGCGAGGTTTTTGACACTATCTCACACAACATCAGGCAAGTGTGGACTGGGTGAGTGGACAGTTATGTGGATTGAGAACTGGCTGAATGACCAGTCTCAGAGGACTGTGACTGGTGGTTTGCAATGCGGTAAACGCTTGAGCATCAGAGACTTCCCCCCAGCTAGTTGTTAAGCATTTAAATCACATAGCTACTAAGAAGACATCCACAGCCTCCTTCCAAGGAAAGATGGCCAGAGGGGACGGTCAGACCATGTATGCTGGTTCACCTGCATGGTCTTGCAGCCTTGAGCCCTCAGAGACAGCAGAGCCAGGCTTGAACTGGAGCTGTCCCCTTCGTGCACCCCCTTCACTCTCCAGCTGCATCCACATCCCCTCTCACTTCTGTAATGTCAAGTGTCTGCACAGAAAATGAAACCAGACCTACTGGGTCAGTGGTGTCTGGGTGGTTCTCAGCTTTTAAAATGTGAATCTGTTTGTTTTATTCATTCTGTTTGGCTGTATTCTCAGCAGTTGCATGTTGGATGCCTCCCCTTTCACCTCTGTGCTGTTACCTTTGGTAACCCATCCTGTGCTCCCAATGGAGAACAAGATCAGGCTTGGTTGAGATTGATTTTCCCAGAAAACAATGTTGACGATGCTAATTATGTGTTACTGCCTCTTCAATCTTTATCAGTTGCATTGTCTATCAGCGCGCTGGTAATCCCCTGCAGGATGGCCACCAGGACAAGAAAGCAGTGACCAATCTTGCCCAGTTTGGCTTTGTTAAGCGTTGGTTTAATATCCACACTCATCAGGCACGCGGGGATTTCACTATCACACCACAGTTTATTAAAATAGAAAGCAATGTAAATGGGGAAGGAAGCTGAAAAACGCGACCTCGTGAAAGCCTCCTTCTTTGCCAGCAGACTGAACTTGACCCATGTCCTTGGCAAGGCTAAACCAGCCCACAGCCTCTCTGGCAGCTGGGATGAATGCAGCACAGGATTTGGAGACTCATGCAGGGGGAGCTTTGTGGCAAGCTGAGCACAAACTTGGTATAATGCTCCTGTGTGAGCCATGATGACGATAACATTGCCTCATACAGAAGGTCCTGAGCTCTGTTCTTCACCTTGTGTCTGACACAGACATTGCTGTTTTTGAAGCTCCATTTTGTACTAAACAGTTTTAAATCCCTCTTGTGTCTGCCAGATGAAAAAAAAAATGTGTGTTTGAGAGCAGAAGAAACCTTGACAACCTGGCACTCGCTGAATGAGAACTTTCTTCTGCTTTTTTCTAACCCATTTCTTAAAGGCTGCCGGAAGAAACAGCTCCTTTGTGCCATGAGGGTTATAAAGAGCAGCTGCTTTTTTTTGCAGAAGAAACAAAAATAAAGACCGGTGATTGCAGTCCTCTTAAAACTCAGCACAAAGCTGGACAGTGTTAACCTCTTCTTTGCCAGGGGACAGTGCTGTCCTACCTGCACACCTAGGGGATGGCACATTATGATAAATGGTAAAAGCTATGCACCTCAATTCACCCCGAGTTCAGTTCAGCTTTTGTCCAAGTTGGTACACCACACTGAAACCCGCTGATGCCTTTGCACAACAGGGCAGTGGGGACCTACCACCACCAAAGAAGGGGCTGGGAAGGATTGTTGCAGCTGGGGAACGAGAAGGGGTGACTGCAGCTCCCATGCACTGTTTCACTGTTCCTCAAACTGGGGGAGCCCTACATCAGTGCCTGCCACAGCAGCCTACCTGCAACCTGTGCCTTGCTGCCTGCTTTCCCAAGGACATGGTGGAGACAAGGCTGTGGGGTTGGACAGACTGTGTCGGTGGCTCCCTGCCCACAGCGCTTGAATTTTCATCCTATGATGGGTGCTCATCCAGTACATGCCAAAAAAATGGCCACGGTGCACAGGTCTCCTTCCTTGGTCAGGCACCACCTTTCCGGAGTGAGCTTTCCACCTCCTATGCTCTATCTTCTCATGCTTTGCCCAGTCCAGGCTGAAAAGTGCATATGCTGCTCCCTTTCTCACCTACATCCGACTCATTAGCACTGGCCCCTGATGCTTTGCCAATGTCTGGTGAACATCCTCTCCCCTTAGGTTACAGGTCCCTAACTGTGACAACAAGCTCCTCTCATTTTCAGGTGTATGCACATCTCTTATGTTTCTGGGCTGTTCATTGTGACTTCCTATACTTGCGGCTTTTCCTATGTACACGATGTCCTCATTAGCCTGCCGCAGTCCCCCATTCCTGCTCCCTGTCCACCATCTTCTCTGATCATCTCCAATTTATTGCACAGGCTAACTGTGTGTTAGCACTCTGCTGGCTACTGTGAGCCTTTGCTACAGAGCTGGTAACCCCACACTCGCTGTGCCTGTGCAAGTGAACCATGAGGGATGCTCTTCAGAAGCCTTCCCCTGGAGAAGACCTCCCCTTTCCTTGGTGCTGTCATACCCGGGGACATCATCCCAAGAGGCACAGAGAACTGGCTGGCTGCTGATGTGCTCCTCACCTTCTTGCTTAGTTTCCAAAGCCTCTAAAATGGTCTCTGTGGATGTTTTTGTGCAAGGACCCATTACACTCCCAAAACCATGAGAGCCTATTAAACCCGAAAGCCATGCCCACCTGTGGCCTGGAGGCTGTTCAGCAGGACAGGACGCAGTAAGCACTGTGACCCAACTGACCACAGCCAGCTTGGTCTTTATTTTGAAGGGTCTTTATTGTGAAGGTAATGACATTTATTACCACCACCGTCCCCCGCACCACCCCCATTTTCGCTTGTCCCGTTGTTCCATCCGCGGGCCGCCTCGCCAGGTGGCTGCAAGATGGCTGACGGGTGAGCTGAGGGAGCGCACCTCGCCCTGCCGTGGGGCGAGGGGTGTCTGCTGCAGGCGGGGAAGGCGACAGGCACGGCGGGGCACCCCGCGGCTGCCGCAGCCTGCGGACGCGGCACCCCCGGAAGAGCCCTCGCCGGGGGAGGCCGCGGCCAGGCCCGGCCGCCCCGGCCCGCGTTGCCGTGGCGACGCGGCGGCCGCCCCGGCGGGGAGGGCCCGGCGGCGGCAGCGGCGGCTTTTCCTGCGCCGAGTGCTGCCAGAGGGGGCAGAGCTGAGCTGAGCCGGGCCGGGCCGCGCCGCGCCGCGCCGAGCAGCTCCGCACCCCGCGCCGCACCGGTCTCCGGCCCCGGCGGGAATCCGCCGCCGCCGCCCCGGACCGGTAAGTGTGGGCGCGGCCTTTCCCCGGCCCTCGGGTGGTGCTGCTGGGTGTCCCGGCACCTCTCCTGACACCGGGCTGCAGCTCGCTTCCCCCGGCCTGGCTCCTGCTGCACCGGCCCCTCGCCTCAGCGCTGTGCCGAGCCCCCTTCCTGCATCCCTGGTCCCTGTGGGGGGCCGGCCCTTCGCCCTGGGGTCTGCGGGCTCTCTGGCCCCCATGTACCCTCCTCACCCTGGGGGGTGCAGGCTCCCCTGGATCCCACTTCCCCTCCCTTATCCCGAGGGTTGTAAGCCCTCCACTTGCTCCCCTCACCCTGGGAAGTGCGGATCTCCCCCCTGACGGTCCCAGCGGGTGGGGGTCCGTCTGCCTGGATTTGGCGCGCAGGTCCGCATGTGTCAGCGCCGGGGCTCCCCTTGCCTGGTGCTGGGGGGCTGTAGCGGCGTTGCCCGTCCTGCCCCTTGCCGCGCCGGGGAGACTGCGGGTGACACGTGTGTGGTCCCAGCCGTGCCCTTTAGTGCCTCGGAGCTCCCGCTTTTTATACTGTAAGCGGTTTGCACGTTTCTGCGGGGTTTCAGAGCCTATGGCTACCCTGGTGACAGGTCGGGATCCTGCATCTAAGCCCCTCTTGAGCTCCTTCCAGGCCCTCCTAAGGCAGATCTGTGCTTTTCTGAGGTAGGTCAAGGTTAATGTGCTCTTCCTCCTGTGGATAGGGAATATGAAAATGTGGATAGGCTGTGGGATTTCCTCAAGGTCACCCTGGAAACTGGACCCCAAGCATCCTCTCCTCTGCATCCCCCAGAGAGCTAGGCTCCTGCTGGGTGAGGGTGCAGTTGTGGAAATGGGATTTTCCAATGCCCTGTCCTGCAGGTCTTCTCAGCTTTTGTTTTCCTCACCTTGCCAGGCTGTCAAGAGTAACAAACATCAGGACACAATCTCAGCTATATTTATTTAGCCTAATAGGTGTTCACAGTTAAAGGTTGGTTGTTCTTACCACAGTGCGTTCATCTCCATTAGTCTCGCTGCTGTTAGGATCTGACCTCTTGTGGTGTGGCTGCTGCTGTTGGGATGGTATCTGCAGTGATTTTAATCACTGCAAGTCACTGTGGCTTTGCCTCTCAAGAACTTGCTTCTTGGCAATGGCAAACAAAATGCAATTGAACTAGAGTGGTGCTTGGCTGATAACAGTGTCTCATGTGGAGCCTGCTGGTGGTCATCTTCTTTCCTCGGCCTGCGTTATGCTTTTTAGGCTGTTATAAACAAAAAGTATAGATGAGGTCTAACAGGAGGAGTTTCTCTTACCAGAAAATAAACACCAGTACTTAATGAGGATTTATCTGTTTGAATGTCTTGCCTGTAAGATTTTTAACTGTGCACTACTACTGCATCTTGTCATTCACACAGATAAAGTTTTTCTCCTGGTGCTGTGCCCTTGGGCTCGTTTGTTCACCGTGCCCATCATAGTAAGGAACGTGATGTTTTGAGGGCAAGGGTGATCCGTGGCAGAGCCAAGTAGGAGTAAGGAGCAAATCTGTGTCATAAATTGGAGCCTGGCACTGCTCTAAAGGAAAGTCTGCAGCCTTGTTTGATGCCCGGGAATCTTGTTAATGTCTTACGAAGTTGCCAGGGCCCTAGCAGATCCTCCTGATGTCATTTTAAGAAGTAGGAATGTGCTGTATTAGGTTACTAGAAGGTAGAAATTGCTGACAGCCTGACAGGGTCATTTGCTCCCTCTTGCCTGCTAAGATTTAAATTAGTGGGCAAGACCAGGGAAAATATCTACCTGGCTGGCCAGAGTGACAGTAGCATGTACATGTGGAAGCAGCCCCCCTGCTCGTTTCTGTGTCGTGTTTTGTGTTGCTGGTCTCTGGCAGGGCAGTGGTGTGAGGTACTGAGACACGGTGGCTGGAACTTGGTGTGCCTCAAAGTCTGGGAGCTGTGAGAGTTCGGAGCTGTGCTCTGATGAGGGTGTTATAATGGGGAAAGTCTTGCTTAGGAGCCGTAAGCATTTCGTGTGCCTATTCAGTTGCTCTTGCGTAACTGTTGTCATGCTGAGAATTGTGAAATAGTTGGAGGGAGACGTTTCCTGGAATAGGGCAGCGGCATTTTTAGGTGGGAAAATGTTGTGCTGTGTTTAGCTAGAGTAAAAGACACTTGGAGTCAGCATCCCAGTCAGGGGTAGCAGTTTTGCAGATTCCCCTAAGAGCAGCTTTTCCATGAAGCGTAAAGACTGATTTAAGGAACACTCTTGTTACAGGGGGCATGATGACCATGCAGTGCTTTAATTATCTCTGGCAGTTAGGGTTTTATCTGAATAATCTGCAGCCAGGAGGCTTTAAGAGGCAGGAGCTGTGAGTTGCTCCTTGTCCTGCAGCAAGGAATGCATAGGTGTGGTGTAGGCTGTGTGATCTATCTCTGTTCCTCCAAAGGGCCAGGCTTTTGGTTTGCTGCTGGATGGGGGGTTAGTTGTTCTATAGCCTCTGGACTCTCTTTCACCCCACTGTGGAAATAAAACACTTGACAGGGCAATTGCCATATTCACAGTAGCTGCTGGAAGGTGGTATGTCCTTGTGAAGTTCGTGGCCAAAAAATGTTAGCAGCGTTGAATGTGGCTGAGTTGTATCCCTCAGTGATGGCTGTTCCAGTGTGGTGCTTTTGTAACTTGATCCTTGGGCTCACCTGGGGGCAGGGAATGGCAAATCTTTTGCACTGCCAATTTCCCAGTGCCAGTAAGATGCCAGTAAGGTGTCCTGTCTCTTAATGGGCTGTTCCTACCTGTGTCAAATCAAATTGTCCTGCTAGAATGACACAAAAAGTCATTGAACTAGGCACCAAGGGAGAAGGAAAAGAGGTGGAAAAATGCAAAATATTTTTGTTCAGTTGTTAGGAGATCCTATGCTGAGGAGATGACATGTAACCAAACTGGGTTTGGAATGGCTGGGACAAATGAGTTTCATTATGATCGAGAGTACTGTAGTTCATGTACATTATGATAGGATGCTCATGTCCTACAAGGGAGTTTCTGCAATCTCCCCTTTTCTAGGCTGTTTCAGAACAGAGAGGTATTTCTGCCTAATCCCTTCTTGGTTATCCTTTTTCAGAGTGTTTGCTTTCTATTTTTTAACTTGTTCTACACAGCTGCTGGCAGTTCAGCAGTGTCCCAGAGCTGTGCGCTTCCACCCGTGATTGGAGTAAGTTGATGTCGCTCTGGCAGAGGCAGCAGAGTAAATCTGGTTTGCAGCCGCTGAGGTTGGGCTATCATGTAGAAGCCCTCGAGCTACAGGAAGTGCCTGGGTGCTCAACCTGTTTAGCCTATCATTTCCAGGTTTGCTAAATGTCCCGTTAGGCTTCCAGTTGGACACACTTCTCTTCCAGCTGCCTCTGGTCCCCTGTTTAAATCTGCGGTACTGCGTAAGGACAAGTACCTGTGCTGCTCCTTCAACAGCGACAGTGCAGGATGGGGAAGAATCTGCCTGGTTACAGCATCCTGCCTTCTGCCACTGCAGGTACATAAGGATTAGTTATTATTCCTTTTACGTCCATGTATATGTTCACCTAAATTCTTAACCATGTCTTTTGGAAATGCAGAATACTGCTTTAATGCCCATGTTCGTACATTTTCCTGCACTACCAGGAATTTTGGACAGTTGGAATTACCAATTGCTTTCATGGCCAGTGAGCTATGGATGCTGCCTGTGTGAGCCAGTGCATTTTTTTCCTTTCTTACTATTGAACATGTCATACACAGTGTGTGTGCTTCAAGATGCATTTATCATAAATGCAGTTTCTCTTGTGGACTCTAGCCTGTCTATGGGCAGTGAGACAGGGGGACATGACTGCAAGTGCATCCCCTCCTCTGCTGAAGAGGTGCCTGCAGTGTAACAGGACAGTGTGTTTTTGTTTCCTAGTGCTGTGATTTGATGAAGCTGCCTTTCTGCTGCAATGTTGAGTCTTTTGGCCTGTGCCTGATTGGAGTGGGGACCATCATTTGGCCATATCCAGCTAATAGCACGGCGGGTTGCTGGAGCTAATGCTGTGTTGCTCAAGTTAATCCCAACAGCAGATAAATAACTTTTTCCTGTCCTCTTCTGTTTGCCTTCCAGCGCAAACATAGCAGGAAGGAGGAGGTGGACTGAGCTGTCCAATGTGAAACTGGATGTTACTTTAACCTCGCAGTTTTGATGGGTAGTTCCAATAGTGAAGATAAAGTAACAGGGAGTACAAAAGCTGTGGAAAACAAGGCAAAATCCCAGACAACCCCACGAAAAGACCTTGTCACTCTGGGTGGTTTGGATTTCTGTTTGGCAGTTTCCTCTTACACATATGCAAATATAAAAGCTTTGAGTATTTGCTGTCTTAGGAGGGCTGCCTACATGGAGATTGTGTGCCTGGAGAAGGGAAAGGCACCTGGTCTGCAATGCTTATTCTGTGTCAGGATAAATGTGATGGGATACCATTTATTTAATTTGTGTGATCTCTGTTGATTTAATGCAGCCTGTGGTGAGCTACTCACAGCAATGGAGTCGTACACTTCTTTTGTTACACTTCTTGATAACTGGTTCTTGCTCTCGGTTTGGTGGTGCTGTTGTGCGTGGGTGGCTACGCCTTGTCAAACCACCCTGTGCCCTGCTCTTTCCTTTTAGTGCTGATGCTGGTGTGTAGTTTATCAGGAGAGCTGTCTGGATTTATTATTTTTCCTTTGATTCAGCTGTGTTTCACAGAATGGCGTGAATTCAAGCAGCTGTAGATGACTGAAGTCCCACCAGGGATGCTGCCTGCCCCACCTGGAGTTTGACTCCATGGCTGGGGCTCACGCTCTTGATTTAAAGGCTGTCCCAGCTTCATGGACAAAGTGGGGGGAGGGAAGGAGAAGGAAAACTTCCCTTCATATACAGAGCAGCAGTGCTGCTGCATTGAATGACTAACTGGCTTTGAGGAGGCCTTTGGCAAGGGAGATGCGTGCTTTTTCTTTTTTGGTTAGAACATGGAGGTACAGGACTTTCAGC